ATCAGTGGGAGGGCGTCAGGCACTCGCGGGCGCCCCCTGCACACAAACCAAGCCAGCTCCGCTCAAGCATGGCACACTCCTGGCAGGCACCAACGCCAGGTGCCAGGCAGTAGGCAACACCCGGTGCAAATAATGCAGGGCAATGTTTTGGCCGAGCCTGTACCTGAGACGTCCCGCATCCACTGCCTGAACAGGCCATCCATGTCTATCTCCACATCGGGCTGTGGGCTGTGGTAGTCCCCTGACTGGCGCCTGCTGCCACCTGCTTCCGCCTGCTGCTGGCTGGCGCCTGCTGCCTCCTGCCTGGTGCCACCTGCTTCCGCCTGCTGCCGGCTGGCGCCTGCTGCCGCCTGCTCCGCCTCCTGCCCTGGCTTCTTCACGGCTCTGGCCGCTTTGGCTTCTACTTCTTGCAAGCTGCTGTCGGCGATCGCGCCATGCTGATGCAGCCGCTCAGCAATCACCGTTTTGCGCTGGTGCACCTGCAGCCAGGAGGGCAGGCAGCAGGAAGGAGGCGATGTGCCTGGGGTTCCATGCCGGCGACAGGTGGCAGCCAACGGCAGGTGCGGTCGGTGGCACAGGATCCCCGTCTGTCTGTCCATCTTACACCCATAAAGAGCAAGTGAATGCTACGGGCCCAGCTGTGGTGCTCCCTCACACCTGCATGATCTCCACCAGGGCCAGCCCCGCCAGCACATCGCTCTTCTCCAGGTCGATCTGCACGTGGCGTGAGTATCATCACTATTTGGTGGCGTGCTGAACCTGTGCAGCAGCAGGACCAGATGCGGGACTGCAAGAGAAGAACCCATGGACTCACATTGCCAAAGAACCGCGAAAACCAGGCAGCTAGCTCCTCCAGGGGAGTCTCGCCAGAGGTCCTGCACCCACGAGGCCGACCCAGGGAATTCATGAGCCAAGGAGGCGCGGCAAGCCGAGCAATGCCATGCCATAGGTGCTGGCAGCAGCCAGCGCTGGCCAGGCCGCTCACTCCTGTCCTGGGCCCGCCTGCGTCAGCGTGCTGTAGCAGCCCAGCATGTGCGAGAGCTTCTTCAGGCGGATCTGCCACCGTTTCTCAGGCGAGTAGTCGGCCAGAACATTGAGGGCGAAGTAGAAGAACAGGAGGAGCGTGGTATACAGCGCCATGGAGCCCCACAGGGTCCCCTTCATCAGCCGCAGCAGGTCGGTAGTCCAGCAGGTGACCTGCAGGCAGCACCAGTTTGAGGTGGGCAGATGAGCAATGGTACCACAGTGTCAGGGTGGCGGGAGTCCAGCAGCCAGCTCACGTCGATGTTGTAAACGGCCCAGAAGCAGTATGCGGAGAAGCCGATGCCGGCCACCCACTTCACCGCCTGGATGTAGAGCAACGGCACCATGGCGCGGCGCTTGCTGGGCTCGAAAGGCGTGCCTGCAAACCAGAGGCACGCCTTTTCGATTAGAGTCCACTGCGTGCAGAAATCCACCCAGCAGTGTTCTGCTGACGACCCACCCATCAGACCTCCGCACCTTGCAGCCCGATCACTATCATCAAGGCAGCGGCAAGCACGTTGAAGACAGCAAGGCCCAACATTCCAAACACCACCGACTGCCGCATGGCTGGCTGGCTACCGGTGCAGCTGGCTGGCGGCGGGGAGTGCCAGATGGCGAGGAACACAGCATAACAGATGAGCAGCGCAAAGGACGGAACGAACAAAAAGACCTAGGGCGGCAAGGGGCGAGAGCGAGGAGGCAGTGGTGTTAGATTGTCAAGCAGATGGCGAGGCGCTGGCGCAGCCACGCAGTTGGCAAGTTATGGAACGCGAGGGCAGCATGAACTGGCGAGCACCCTCACCCCCAGGAAGGGCATGGAGTCGGAGGCCAAGTGGTACTGGCTGCGATACAGTGTGAGCGAAGGCATGGCGGCAGCTGCGGCGGCGCAGCAGCGGCGGGCGGGGGCCGCAGCTGTCGCACAACCCGCAAGCGCGATCCGCGGCTTAGCTGCTGCTTATCACACGGCTGTCAACTGCGTTCGGGTCATCAACCGAGCGCTCGAGCAGCGGGGAACAACCGGCGCAGGATGGAACGTGCAGGCGGCCCACTGGCAGCCCATACAGTGCAACGCATGCATCAATAGGGACAGCGCCGGTTGGAATGTGGACATGCGAACATCAACATGCTGATGCTGACAGGGCGCCGCCCCTGGCCTGCCAAGGGTAGTGTGGAGTATGGTACATCCTGTTGCTGCTTGCTTGCAGGAATGCATTCAGGTTGGCAAGCCAGATGCAGCCGCCCCCCCGCCGTTCAGTCCTCGCCCCGCCCCTCCTGCGCCGCCTGCTGCGCGGTTGGCGCCTGCCTCGTCAGCTCGCCAAGCACCTGCATGAGGCGTGCGGTGTAGTGGTCGCTGGCCTGCCGCTGGCTGAGCAGGATGCCCTCCTCAATCAGTTGCTCCGACTGCTCGATCCACACAGCATCCCAGCTGTAGCCGCGTTGTTGTTGGTGCCGCCGCTGCCGCCAGTTGCCCTCGGGCCGGCCCGCGGCGGGGCCCTTGAGCCGGCGCAGCATCATGACGCGGCCGGGCGGCAGCATGGGCACAAAGAGGTGCGAGAAACGACACTTGCCGGAAAAATACCTGCATGCCAGGAGAGGCAAGCGGGGTGGGCAGCGCATCAGGCCGCTGATAGGACAAGATGAGACCACGGCGGCCATGTAGGTCCCAGAGGCTGGTGGGCAGCACTGTGTCTGCAACTGAACTCACTGTCTGAGGATGTTGAGAGGCTCGGGCGGGATGCGGTCGATGGGGTGGAAGAGTTCCTCGGGGGACAGGGACCGCAGCGCCTTGGAGCGCAGGCCCCCCAGCACGCGCAGCTTGGTCAGGCGTGTGCGGGCCAGCGCAATCACGAGCTGCACCAGGGGCGAGTTTCCAGAAAGGACAAGGGTCTGAAAACTGTTGGGGCCTTTGTGAATGCTGGATTCTTCCTTGCTTCAGGCTACTGCTGTTGCAGACGGCATGTGCAGGGGGGCTTCACATCTTGCCTGGTCCATAATCCTGTCAAATGTCAACGTGCCCAGGCGGCTGATGGAGTCCTTGCCCACGCACACGCTGGTCACAAAGCCCTCCACGGCGTGCGCCAGGTTGGCGGTTGTCATGCCGCCGGGAGGGTCAAAGGCAAACACCTGGGTGCCTGCAGACGCACCCCGGCACATCAGAGGTTGGTGGCCGCTCCCGGCAGGTGGTGTGGCGACGCTGCAAAGCGGCTCTAATACGGCGAAGCAAACAAGGTGAAGAGGCGGCCGCACCTGGGCACCAGTCGCGCAGGTGCATGCCCACCAGCGCCGCCACAGCCGCGCCCAGACTGTGCCCCGTCACCACCAGCTTCCACCCCCGGCAGTCCAGGCCCCGCCCCTGCAGCAGGCGCTGGTAGTCGGCAGGAGACAGCCGCTCCTCCAGCCGCTGCTGCGCCCCGCCCTTGCCTGCACTCGTGCTGGTGTCGCCATTGCCAGCCGCCTCGGCATTGCCATCTCTGGCAGGGCCTCGGGGCGAGTGAGCTGGCGAGCGTGGCGGCGACTGAGCGGGCAAGCCCCAGTCCTCATTGCTGCTGTCCCAGCTGCTGAAGCGGGAGTCCCTGGCAGTCCGCTGGCTGGCGCGGCTGATACGCTGCGCCTGCCAGCGCAGCTGGCGCTCGTCGGGGGCATGCCAGGCCTGCTGGCGCTGCTGCACGTCTGAGGCCAGGGGCGCGCCCGTCAGCAGGATGGGCAGGATCTGGTGCTGGTTGAGGTCCTGCGAGGCGGGCGGGCGGGGCGCGTGTGCTGAGACTGGACGTGCACAATTTGCCGCCACTGAGGGGAGCGAGCAGGACCTTCACTCGGCAGCAGGGGCAGTGCTTGCAGTCCGCACCTGCAGCACCGCCTTGGCTGCAGTGTACATGCCCATGTGGGCAAAGACGTCGCTGGCGCATTCGGGAAACTCCTGCACGAGCTGGGGGCAGCTGCAAGTCTGGCATGGAGCGAGGCACGTGCCCAGGCGACACCAGCGTGCCCTGGTGCTGTGGGGCATATCGCTTACCTCAACAAAGGCGCCTGGCAGCCAGTCGGTGATTGCCACGGGGCGGTCGATGATGTCGGTCAATAGGTCTTCCATGCTATTGGAGCCGCGTAGTGCCAGGACCGCCGTGCGGGATGCTCTGCAACACAGCCGCATGTACATGGTCGAGGCGAGGAGAGCCTGCTAGCAGCAAGCTTGACATGGTGGCAGCGACCAGGAGCGCCGCGCCTGTGCAGCGTGATGTTGTAGGGTGTGGCTCCCAGCGCCAGGTTGGCAAAGGAGCAGTACACAAAATCGCCGGCACTGATGCCAGCCACCTGCGCACGAACCTCGAGCAAGCTCAGGCAAGGCTCTCTAAAGTTGCAGCGCTGTGCTGGGTGGCTGTGCAGCCCCGATGTCCGTGTGTGCGCCGCGAGGGGCAAAGCCCTGGGCTCACCTTCATTGCCCCCACGTAATGCTCCAGATACTCCCCAGACTCCTCCAGCTTCTGCCGCACCGGCGGCTTGGCGGCGGCCAGCACCGCGCTGGCTGGCCTCGTGGAGCGGCGCAGGTCGGAGCGCGCGCGGTGGTAGCCAGCAGACAGGCAGTAGAAGCTCCTGCAGAGGCAGAGCGGAGAGGGCGACCGAGGTCCCATTGCTGGCTGCCAGCCAGCACTTCTGCTGTCTGACGAGGGAGGAGCACGCCAGTGCAGCTTTGCCTTTGCACCCGCCACCCCACCGCATTTACTCACTTGGGCTGGTTCCAAATGTACGCCATGCTGCCGTAGGCGGCGGCAGCAAACTTAGCCCAGCGTTTGACCTCCTCCAGCGCCTCGCGCGATACGTAGTTCCTGCAGCCTGCACGGCAAGCGCGGAGGGGCAACAACACTGGAAGATCCATGTGTGTGCTGATTCTGCAGAAGCTTGGTGGCCACCAGGGGACCAGGGTATGCACCTCATCCCTGCTGCACTGCCTGCACAAACCCGTGTAGATTTCGGCGCTCTGCTTGGGGGTCAGCTGCGGGGCCAGCTTGGCGCCCCAGTGGGAGGGAGTCAGGCACATGCTGCGCCCCTCTGCAGCATGGCGGCACGGCTCATTCATGGCAGCCAAATGCAGGAAGCTCTCAGCAACCAAGGGGCCACACTCAGGGCCCCGGAGGTGCTCACCAGATGTTTGTTTGAGCCATCTGTTGAAGGCGGCATCCAGATCCAGGCACACATCGCCCTGCACCTGGCTGCCGCTGCGCCCACCGGTGCGCCCGCTGGCAGCGGGCTGCCCGTACTGCTGGCAGCCCTGGCGCAGCTCCAGATAGAGATCCACCCAACCAGTGCTGCCACTGTCGCCCGCCTCCGCAGCTCCGTCTGCGCCTGCACTGGCGCCGGAAGCGCTTTGGCAAGCTGCCTGCAGCGCCCCGCCGCGCGACAGCTGGCGCCAGTTGTGGCTGACGGGGATGCCAGCTTGGCGCAGCCGGTCTGCAATGACGGCCTTGCGCTGCTGTGCCTGCACCCGTTTGATGGGGGACACCCGCGTGAATGTGCCAATCCCGGGAAAGAAGTGGCGCCTGCCCAAGGCACCACTGCCTCACCTGCATTATTTGCACCAGCGTCAGTCCACACACGATGTCTGTCTTCTCCAAATCGATCACTCCAAAAAGACGGGCAAAGGAGGCGGCCAGCTCCTCCAGCACTGCCTTCCCTGTGTTCCTGCGGCAACGGCGCACAGCAACGCAAGTATGTACATACATGCCTCAACAGCAGCCACTTGGCATCCCCTTGCTTGTCACATGTGCAGCGGCATGCCCGCAGCAGGCCGACTGCAGCTCACTCCTCCCCCAGCTGCGCCCGCATCAGCACATCGTAGCAGCCCAGCAGGCGGGACGCGGTCTGGATGCGCAGCTGCCACCGAGTCTGCGGGTTGTGCTTGGCCAGAGCGTTGAGCGCGAAAAAGAAGGTCAGGCTGCGGGGCCGGGGGCGGCACGGGACGGGTGGTCCCAAGATGGCGAGTGACCTTCCCAGCCCCGCCAGGCCATGGACTGGCAGCCCCTGCAGGCGTACGGCCATGCTCACAAGATGCCCAGGTACACAAAGACTGAGGTCCACAGGGCGGCCTCCGCCAGCGTCCTGAGCCCAGACGCCCAGCAATGCGTCTGCAGCCAGCGCCAGCCAGGGTCACAGCAGGCGCTCTTGAAAACAAAAGAGAAAAGCCCGCATTCCGTGTCACCATGACGATGCGCCCGCTGCCCACTGGTACTTGCCTCGATGGCATAGACCACGACGAAGGAGAAGATGGCGAATGCCACGTACAACACCCACTTGGCGGCTAGAATGTACAGCAGCGGCACCATGAGCCGCCGCTTGCTCTCCTCAAAGGGGCTGCCTGCAGAGGACACAGGGTGGCAACAAGCTTGTCAGACATCAAGCAGCCAGAACATGCTTGGGCACTATCAATGGCAGGGGCAGTGCCTGGCGCACCTCTAAATTCATTCATTCATTCATTCAGCACACAGCCCGGCCGCCTCTTGCTCGAGGGCGGCCCACTTTGGCCTGGGCCGCCCGGGCCGCCCTCCCCCCCGGGCGCATGTTCGGTGTTGGAGGGGTGTGCCCAGCGATAGGGGGCCCCTGAAGGCATGCGCCGAGGCCGGGAAGCGTGGTTCGGCGCTGCTGCACGCTTGGCGATTTGACCAGAACCACGTGCCGCCGAGCTGCGGCCGCAGTTTCCGGCCCACGGTCTACGGTCGCAGCCACGGGACTCGGCGGCACGGCGTTTGGGCCCAAGCTTGCTGCCGCCGCCGCCGTGCCCGGGGGGCAGCGCGGCGGCGGCGGCACGCTGCGACGCCCCCGTGCTGCCGAGCTGCGGCCGTAGTTTCCTGCCAGAAGCCCACGGCCACAGCCACGGGACTCGGCGGCACGGAGTTTCGGTCCACGGCTTGCTGCCGCCGCCGTCGCAGGGGTGCTGCCTGCGGCGGCGGCGGCACGGCGTTTGGGTCCACGGCTTGCTGCCGCTGCCGCCGCCGCAGGGGTGCTGCCTGCGGCGGCGGCGGTAGCGCACGTGGCAACCCCCCGCGTTTCCTTGCCTCCCATCCACCGGACCCCGTTCTGCGCTTCACTTTGTTTAGGGAGGGGCTGCTCACTGCTCATTGCTCATTGCTCATCGCACACTGCTCAACGCTCATTGCCCTATATCCCACCCAGCG